ATCTGCCACACACGCTCATAAGAGCATCATGACGCATGTATGTTGTGTTCACGCTAGAGTTAACATTGTAGCATGAACAAGCTTTGAATAATAATTTAATGTAAATAAAGTGGTAAATAATAATTTTTTTTGGAGAAAAAAAGCACTCGTGTTGCTTCATGAGCAACACATGTGTACATTGCATGTGTATTTACACAGTTTTTGTTTTGTCTTAAGTTGATTTAACTTAAAATTTTAAGACAGCCACAAAACTTACGTTTTTAAGTTGAAAGGGGTGACATTTTTTTACAGTGAAGGAATAAACCATGCAGAGTGACAAATTTAGACACATTTGTGCCACACTTAAAAATGCACAAATGTTGCATTACAACACAAAGTACAAACTAAGTACAATGCACAAAGTTCAAACCAAGTATTGCTAAATACAAGCAAAATAAATGCACAGAAAAAATATTAATAGATTTTAAATAATAAAACAATTCATAGTGTTCAGATTGATGCATTTGGACACTTTTTAGTTATGAAGCATTATCAATGCGTTCCAAACAGCATACATTAATAATAAATTAATTAATAGAAATTAAAATGCAAAAAGAAAATAATTAATTAATAAACAAGGGAGAACAACGGCAGCCATGTTGTAGAGTTGTTTCAATGACTACAAGGGCCCTTTAAAAATATTCTTTGCACTGCTGCAAAACCTTTCAGTCCAGACCACACTTCACAAGTCTGAAAATTGCATTTAATCTGGTTTCATAAAAATAATATCAATTATTATGAACTTTTTAAAACCTAAAAATAACCAGTTACAAATACAAAGGATTTAAAGGTTAAACATTTAAAGCATTTGTTTTTGTAACTGTTATTTTTGGTCTCATTATAATGTACATTTGTTTGCTTTGTTATTCTAATGAAGGAGATGAAAGAAACAAAGGTGTATTACAGAAGCTTACCTAATAACTTTTCATTAATTTTTTTAACTGAACTCACTAAGTACATTTGCTTATTGCTATACTGCTGAACTACCAACTGTTTCTCTTTTATTTTTTATGAATTCAGCTAATAGGCTATATGTTAAATATTAAAATGATTATTAAAATAAATAAAATGATAAAACAATATTTAAATCATGAAGCGTTTGAAAAGCAGTCTTCAAAAAGTAATCCTTTTAAAGCATTTATTTTAGTTAGTTTTGCATTATGAAAGTGTTTATTAGTGAGGCAAAATCACGTGTAAATATTTCATGTTAAGTATAACCTAATTAGCAGCATCAGCCTTTATGCATTATGCATAAGACACTGAGCCCTATGTCTAAATCTCTTACTATGTAGGGCAAAGTTTCTCAATCCGTTAAGTGCCTATATTTAATGTGATGAACTACACCTGTGGTTACTGACCTCACTAAAAGTCTGTTTTTTGGAGCTGCTATATGTTGCTTCATTGGTCGTTATTCTCTAATTATTTGAATGAAAAATAAGAGCTGAAGGAAATGAGTAAAACGTTACAAGGGCTGAATTGGAGCCAGCTTTTCTCAGAACGGCAAACAAAAGAGAAGTCAGAGGAAATGCCATCCCACATCCCATCTATTGTTTTCCGTTGTCTGCCTGTTCAGTGTCGTGCATCTGTTTGGGTTATGCTGTTTTTTCCCAGACCTAGTGTTCAAAAACCCTGGAAAAACTGGACTCCGAACTTAGATCTCTCTGACTGTAGCTGGTGCTGAACAAATATGATTACAGTTCATTTGGCTGCGACAGCGTGCTCTCTATGCCAGGCTGAATTAGCTTTCTACTCAATGTAATTCCATATATCACCATTTAACAGACAGCCAGACTACTCTGTGCTTCACATCTGGTCCCTTTTTTAAAGGAAAATCTTGCATTATTTATTCGCACAGCTTTTATGAAGGTCACTCTGGAGCACATGCTGTGCTGAATGGGTAATTGAATATTTTTATTGCAAATAAAATATGATTTGATTTTGACATTAGTGGATCATTTCATGATTTAAAGCCCTGAAACTGAATGGACTCGTAGTTGTTTGTCAAAATCGCAATCTGAATTATGTGCAAACTAAACGTTTTCAGCGTGTAACAGGGGAAAATAGGAATTGATCCATCTTTAAGCAATTGGTTGTATCAGGGAAAGTGGGTGTTGTGTACTTATTTTCAAGAAAGGCCCAAAATTGAAAGGGCTTGGTGACATCAGCAGAAAAGGAAATGAGTTTCAGAGTTATTGTATGATGCTATTTTATTTTACAATTTTATTTTAATTTGCGTAAAAACAATACTAACTGTAAAACTGAAATATATTAGTTTTTAGGTGCAGAATTTAAATTGTAAATTTGCGATGTTGACCGACTGAGAGCTGCTTGATTTGAAAGTGATTCCTGCATAATCTGTGCCTCATCTATCGCTGCACTATTAACAGTAGACCGTGTACCTTTTTTTGTTCGTGAAATTTAGGTGAAATTTCACCAGTGTGGCCAAACAAGACTAGTAAGTTTGCATTTGTTTTTGATTTCAACAGATCAGGACTCAAGTTCAGATATTTTGTGTCACATGATGCCATTCTACAGCTACGATGTTCCCCATACATGTGGTCCTGACCCAAAAATCTGCTGCCAGTTTGACTTTAAAAGGCTGCCGGGAGGAAGAATCAGCTGTCCATGGAGAATTCCTCCTCAGGCTATCACAGATATCAACGTACAGGAGAGGTACAGCCGTACACACCAGTCACAGACATTAGGAGCTACCATATTTACTCATGGCGACCTAGAAATAACAATGATTGTTTCTAACTATGTCTTAAAAAGGTCTGTCTGTTTCAATAAGTTACAGTTTTTAATCCCTTTTTTGTGTCATTGTTTGTGGATTTGTGTTCCCTCAATTCTGATTAGTTTTAGATTCCCCTCCACTTAGTTTATTCTCTCCATGTGTAGAGCTCAGACGCTACTGGACCAGTACAGGAAGAAATCCAAACTTTTTCGGACCAATGTGCTGCTGGCACCACTTGGAGATGATTTCCGCTACACTGAAGCTGTTGAATGGGACCAACAGTTTGAAAACTACCAGAAACTCTTTGACTACATGAATTCTCACCCTGAGCTTCATGTCCAGGTCTAGTATCCTTAGACAGACTTCAGTGTTTCGTTCAATTGATCTACCGGTAAGCCCCACCCCCCTTAGTTACTGTTGCTCACTCGGACAAACAAATGGCGTTGCTCACTGTCTTACAATGACAGCTGTCAGTGAAAACCTTCTTCCAAGGTGTTTCTGATCAATTTGGGACACAGATGGACCTTCAAGTGGGACTTAAATATGCCATGGAGGGATATATAAAATATATTAAAATAAATATGTAAAAATACAGATCACAATGCAAACGGGAGAATTATTTTTTATGGTCGTCACGATCGCCATGACAACATGCAGGATCAGCACCGTTCATATACCGCAGAGTAAGATTAAATTAATTTACATTTAACCAGATTAATATGGAGAGTCACCGTCTAATATAGACCTTCGTTTATGTGTTTTTGACTTTCACTGCACGGTACATGACGTAAGAACAGTTCGCTATTTAGGTTTGTATGTTAGCATGGACTCACTAACTTTACCGTTAGCTAGTTTTAGCCAGAGATACCTTGCTAAAGCACAAGATTACATTAACGTTCTGCATGAGCAGATGAAAAGTGTAACTTAATGAGAGTATGACAACCAGAAAATGAACGTTTTCGTCTTCATAGTGATTGGGGTTGAATGCTTAGGGACATTTTGCTCTGTTTTGGTTGGATTTAGGAAATGGAATAAAATAAATTACATTGCCTATCCTCTCAGGATAACTGGAATTAGTGTTACAAGTACCCTAGGCACATCGTTTTTCTGTTTTTGTAGCATAAACACCATGAATCCGATGTGAGCTTTCGGATCTTCCAATGTTTCTCTATGGTGCTGAAACCTAAAGATGTCCGAGTTCCGCTCTCCGTGCAACTGATACTCGACTGCCATTGGCTCACCTGCCTTCGAGGGGAGGGGCTTACCGATAGGTCAATTGGCCACACTTTGAAGTCTTGGTATATTTTCAGCCTTTATTTTTTCTTATGTATCTCTTTTGTTTCTCTTTGCAGGCCCAATTTGGAACTATTTCAGATTATTTCGAGGCCTTGCGTAAAAGCACTGGCATGGATCCGGTTGGCATTAATGTGGGCCAGTTGGCTTTGCCTGTGCTAAGTGGAGACTTTTTCACTTATGCGGATCGAGACGATCACTACTGGAGTGGATACTTCACCTCACGGCCGTTCTACAAACGCCTGGACAGAGTGCTGGAATCACACCTCAGGTAAGCCATTAACAAATCCAAATGCACTACGTGAATCTCTACAGTGACAGTGCACAAGTTAACACTTGCCAAGTGCCAAATGGAGGTAAAAATTGGCTTCAGCAAATACATAAAACTGAGTTATTAAATTTTAATGTGTGCAACTGAACAAAAGTTCGATACTCATTGCTGAAACAGTCTATGAAAGAGAAGATCAGTGAGAAGTTTTACCACATTGGAAAATGATCTGCAAAAGTTTACAGGAAGCAAAGAGGATTTCTTTTATTGCTCTCTGTAGCACCAACAATGCTATTCATTGCACCAACGAGAAAATGTGAAGAACCAAATTTGAAATGCACTGCATTAATCTGCATAAATGCACTGCATAGAAATGTTTGGTATGGGTCTCAATGTCCAAAAGTTGAAACAATAAAAAATACCATTTCCATATGCCTGGACTTGATTTGCATTTGAGACCATGAGTTCAAAATTAACATAAAGTTAATTATGAACCAGAATGCCATGCTAATATGTGCAATAACATTTGCAATTCATATTGTATAAACTAAAGACATTTTCTGGAAATTCAGCTTTTTCAAAGTCTGATTACTTTTTTCTCTAAATATTCAGAGTTTAGAGACCCAAATATTTTTGGTCTGTTTGGTCATCAGAAAAAGACTGTAAATTTGAAATGTTTTTATCTGCTAAAAGTTTATTTGATCAACTTTTATAAGTACACTAACATACAGATGACCTAACACACATATACTAGCAGTCATGAAAATAGCATTTTTCAAATTTTCAAGTTTTATGTAACTGATTTAAAAAAATAAAATAAAATAGATGACTAACTTTTAAGACTAGTCTAAGAAGTTTACGCAACTGGCCCCTGAACTGAGTCTGTCTATAGGAAATGGAGCTCTGTGATAACAGACATTACCATCTTTTCTTGCAATGCTGTATGCTGCTAATTAACACACAAAGCTGAAGGTCACACGTCTGTGTTGTCACGATAAAACTGAAGCCCTGTGACAAGGTCAGAGCAAATTAAAGCAGTCGGTTTTGAGCCACCAACTCAATGGCTTTAGTATTTATTCAGTATTTGACCATGGCCATTGACTGTGCCACCTTCTCATCTGTGGGTGCTTTACAAACTTTTCTCCTTGACTTCTTTCTAACATGATATTGGCCCTAGAAAGATAAAAATTGATCCTATTAAGAAATAAGGAATATTATCGCTAATTTGTAGAATGTGAAAGAAATAACTCCTTGTTATTTATTTATTTTTTATCTATCCTTTACAGCATGTTGAAATGTCTTTGCAGCTCTTGTTAATTGGCTTGGTTCTAGATAATGAGACGTTGCAGTGATACATATTGATTTTTCTGTATGCTCCTCTACAAACATTTTTGTTTACATATACCAGTAGAGCAGTGTTGTCATTGTTATCTAAAACTATTTTTTTGATATTATGTATTCTATACATCCTGTATGTATGTGTTTGTGTATGTCAGTGGCTGTCCTGCATTTCATTGTTTATGGCAAAACGTGATAACTGCGGAGAACTCTATTTAAGACAGTATTTGCATTTTGATGGGTGTCTAAATGTAGGCTGGAGACAGTTTTCATCAGTATGCAGTTGTTAAACTATTCCCCGTTCTACACGATGGCTTCTTTCACTCAGCAAATTGGACTTTGTTCAGCTCTGCTCAATTTCTCTCTCTCTCTCACACACACACACACACACACACACACACACAGTAGATTGATTAGAGATATTCAGTCCAAGGTCATTTCATGTTTAATTAATTATTAAAGTCAATGTTTGGCTGTTCTTGTGGGAGAAGAAAGCAGATGTATGTTTGATGTGAAATATGTAGGTCACATGTACTGTGTTTTTATCTTTTAACTATGGTCTGTGAACCATGCAGTAGAAATGTTGAAATGTTTGATCTGCAGAAACCATCTTGCTTTATCAACTCACTTCAAAGATCTATTTGGGTAAAAATAATAGATTTAAACCATGGATAATTGTGTCACTCTAGTTTACTGATGTACTCAGGTTAGAGGCCATAATTTTCTGCACTTGTCGATAAAATGTCATTCACTGAAACCTTATCTGGGTCAATCTCAAGAAAACATGTCCATGTCACGTTTCACCCCAACATTAAAAAAAAAAGAAAGAAAGAAAGAAATGATATTTTTCATAAAGAAAATAAAATGTGTTACCTGCATTTTACTGGAAATTAAATATTCTCATTAGATTCTCTTAACTGTAATACAATTATTTTATTTAAATCAGCATAAAGAAAACTAGTAAAGCAACTGCTAATATCATGTGTGAATTCTGTACATTTAAATGTATTTATTTTAAAATAATTTACATATTTTCACATGCAAAAATTGGCTTAATTTCCTTAAAGTAGGTGTTCTTAACATTTTTGACTCGAAGACCTCTGCTGTTTAACATAATCAAAGCCCCACTCCAATGTAGGCTAAACATTTTCCTGTATTTAAGCTGCTTCTTTTCAGACTTTTTAAAGAAACTGAGAGCATTCATGTTTTAAAAAAATTAACCATCATTCATTTTGTGATTCCAGATGTTTCAAGAACTGTATACCAACAGTTATTGATTTGTAGGTATTATTTACTGATTTAGTAATTATTAATAGTTAATGTATATGTAGCATTTTAATTGAGATTAGAGCAGGGCTGCCCAAACTCGGTCCTGGAGGGCCAATGTCCAGCAGAGATTAGCTCCAACTTGCCTCAACACACCTGCCAGGAAGTTTCTAGTATGCCTAAAAAAAGCTTGATTAGCTGGTTCAGGTGTGTCTAATTGGGGTTGGAGCTAAACTCTTCAGGACACTGGCCCTCCAGGACCGAGTTTGGGCACCCCTGGATTAGAGTTAGATTATTTTTAATATATTACCCCTGTTTTTTAATTAAAATTAAAATTGCGCACCAATTGGGAATTTGCTGTGGCCCTGGGCCCATGGTTGAGAACCACTGCCTTAATGAACAAATATAGGCCTAATTTCTTTCTGTCTTTTTTTTAAGATGTGAAATATGACTCATGTTCAACAGGTTTTGCGAGGTTCGCCCAGCTATAGATTTTCATCTCCTGTAGAAAATTTGAGAAGGTCATTATTTGTAGAGACGACACCTGTATTGTTACTATAATGTGGAGAGATTCTGCTATTATTGTTGTTCTCACTCGGACACTCCCAACACAGCAGTGACCATACCAGACTATTATCTTTCTTTTACTGGAATGTGAACATTAGCCGGATTCAGGAGGTATTTTGATGCCAGATGGATTCTTGTAACACTGTGGATTTATTCTGTGTGGATTTGAGGGGACTTTTGATCTTGCATGGGAGGGAGTTTCATATGTCACTTCATGTTTGTCCGCAGGGCAGCTGAGGTCCTCTACTCTCTGACCTTGGCCAACATTCAGAAGTACGGCCAGCCCAATGATTACCCTGCAGTGGATAATTACAAGTTACTGACAGAAGCCAGACGCAATCTAGGTCTCTTTCAACATCATGATGCCATCACGGGCACGGGCAAAGACTGGGTGGTTGTGGACTATGGAACCAGGTAGTGCCTCTTTCTTGAAATATCTTAAAGTGAATGGGTAGAAGACATATGCCACCTTTTCACTAACACCAATATTTTCATACGTTTTTTTGCATTTCGGCCCAAAGTGTCAGTCGGGTAGAACTTTCAGACTGCTCATAAAGCAGTCATTGCCATCTGATTAATAACCATTGCACAATGACAAAATAATGAATGTATTATATATCCACAAAACAAAAGGCCGCCAATATGTTTAAAAGAAAACATCATACATTTTCTAGGGCTGATCAACCTAAATGATTATTTAAAAAATTAGTAAAACTATCAGAAAAAAAAAAATCTTATTATACAGGTGCATCTCAATAAATTAGAATGTCGTGGAGAATTGAGGCAGTAATTAAAGCAAAAGGAGCCCCTACCAAGTATTGAGTACATGTACATGTACAGTAAATGAACATACTTTCCAGAAGGCCAACAATTCACTAAAAAGTTTTTTTTTATTGGTCTTATGAAGTATTCTAATTTGTTGAGATAGTGAATTGGTGGGTTTTTGGTAAATGTGAGCCAAAATCATCCCAATTAAAAGAACCAAAGACTCAAACTACTTCAGTCTGTGTGCATTGAATTTATTTAATACACGAGTTTCACAATTTGAGCTGAATTACTGAAATAAATTAACTTTTCCACGACATTCTAATTTATTGAGATGCACCTGTACATTATACAGAAAGTGTTTAAAGAATAACGTTTACTGAAAAAATATTGGTAATTCTCATATCTGGTTGGGCATTTGCATACTATCTAGCTGCAAAAGTTCTAATATTACGAAAAGCTGTATTCACTGTATTTAAATTTATTATAACATTTCTATTTGTTGTTGAAATATTTACACAGTGGCTGTCATAACAGATTTATTTAAACATACATTAATTAATTAAGACATCACTAACAGGTAAAGTAAAATATGATGAGAATATATAGTCTAAAATTTCGCAAAATGCTCTTCTATAGACTTAATTTCTCTAGCGAACTAACGAGCTGTGGACACTGATGACTTGCCTGAGGTAAATGAAATGCTACGTGACATTTTGTTTACAAACAGTTTTATTGACGTCTTTCTGTGGTTAAAAAAACAGTGATTGGGCGATTACCTGAGGAGATGTTCATTCATGTTTATTTCGCATTAAAACTAGTAGTAAAGAGGAAGAGATGATCTCGCTCACTTGCGCTCCGCGCAGCTGTTCGAACTTCTGATTCTTATTAACTGATATTATCAGGTAAAAGAGACATGGTAAAAACATGGTAAAGCATCATGATCTTTGTTATTTCTAAGGTTGTTTCACTCTATTCTGAATGTGAAGCGAGTGATTGTGAGCTCAGCTCACTGGTTGGTGCTCAAGGACAAACAAACATACTTCCATGATCCTTCAAATCCCTTTCTTCAGATGGTGAGTGTTCATATTGTACATCCATAACATGGCATCACTCCGAAATTTGGTAATTGCTATGTGAACATTACATTTTTTCTGGTTCTGTATTACAGGATGATGTTCAGCCATCCCAAGATGCATTACCTCGCAAAATAATTTTTGAAGTTCATGAAAAACCAAGGTAAATCAACAATTCCTTCAATTTTTTCAATTAATTTTCTTAAAAATACATTTTTCTATAGAAAAAAAACTAATAGGATTTTTACTTTGGGAACCTTGCTGTTGTGCTTTATAGCATAATAATTAGCACAATATAGAATAATGTTGAGATAAAAATGGATTCATGGTACATGTGTTGAAGTAGATGAACATGATGAAGTGGATGATAAAAGGCAGCAGAATCTGTGTGGCATATAATGCTTCATAAATATGCTTAATTTTTTGCTGTTCCCAGGTTGTTGGTGGTTTACAACCCCACAGAGCAAGCCAGGATGTCCATGGTTACAGTATATGTGACGACTCCTAAAGTGCGCGTGCTGAATGCTCTGGGTCATGTGGTCCGTGCTCAAGTCAGCGCAATGTGGAATGATGCCAGTCATACTGCTGCCGACGTCTTCCAGGTGAGATCTGCTACATCAGTGCATCATATCACAGCGTTATGGGTGTATTGTTTATGGAAAAGAGCAATGGGAGGATTGTGGATTCTTCAAACTAGTCCATATTTGAGGTTTGAGGTCATCTAAATGCTCCTCAAGCCAGTTCATGGTGTTTGTAACGTGTTTGTTTATTCCACGACAGTTGTCGTTTGTGGCTCAAGCTGCTCCTCTGGGACTGAGCGTGTACCAGCTGATGGAAGGAATGGAGCCAAGGACAGAAGCTGCTAAGTACATGTTTCTTCAGGATGGCAGGCAGATTTCAATCAGTGAACTGGAGCATTTCCGACAGTTCTACCAACAAGATGCGGCTCCTGTGCACATTGAAAATCCTCACCTGAAACTCTCCATCTCTACAGCTACAGGACTTTTAGAGGTTAGATCATAGACTGCAGCTCTCTGGGTTTGTTGTAAGCTCATACATCTAGGAATGACTCTGAAATGTTCAAACGTCTCTTGTTTACAGAAAATGAGGTTGAAGGAGGATGACTCTGAGCACCTGGTCAAGGTGGAGTTTGTTTTGTACGGCACCACCAGCAATAAAGACAAGAGCGGCGCCTACCTGTTCCTGCCTGACAAAGAAGCAACAGTAAAAACTATTTTGATAATCTATTAATTTGGGGGTTTTTCTTCAAATTATCAGATATTCCAAATCCTGCCCAATTGTATAGATTTTTATTTATTTATTTTTTTTTGGAGAAATTTTATTTATTTATTTATTACATTTTATTTGTAGACATTGTAGATAGAGTAAAAAGAAACAGGAAATCAAGAGAAAGTGGATTGGGTTTAAATCATGATTTTCATGAGTTTCGTCTTTCATCAGGACATTAGGCAGTTTTGTCATGCAGTGTCTTTGGTAGCTCTGCTCTGAGGGGATTTTATGAGTTTGATTTGATTCACATTGATTTTCTTTCTCTCTCACACAGATTTACTCTCCCTCTCAACCGCCGGTGGTTCGAGTCACTAAAGGGCCGCTGTTTTCTGAAGTCACCACTACCTTCATGCACATCACACACACTCTCCGGCTCTACAACATCCAGGGTAAGAGAGGACAGCAAACACTCATCACCTGCACTCCTCAGTTATGCTTGCAGTCACCACTATTTACAGTATGTAAATCAAATATTTACACCAGGGATTTGCAAAATGACATTTTCAAGTTCAAATAGTTGTCTGAAGGAAGTGCTGGATAATTAGCAATGTAACCTCAGAAAACCTCCAGTTGATTGACCCCTGGAATAAACCCCCCAGAACTTCCACATCCTTGAAATGCTTCTAGATGACGTCCTTCTCTTTTCCAAGTAATCTTTCTTAAGAGAGCCTTTTATTCACATTACTATAGCAGCTTGTTTAATACAAGAGTTTTTGTTATTTTTATTGGATGCTGTACAAAGCATTTTTCTAGCTCAGATATTGCAATATAAATCTTTGAATTGTAAAGGTAAGCTTTTGAATGTTCCTCAAGCTATGATGGATCATTTGAACTGTGTAATCGTCAGTGCTAAAAAAGGCAGTGCATTAAGCTACTAAGTTACAAATTTAATTGGCATCAGAAAAGGAAGTTTGATACCAGACAAAACACAATCCAACAAAAGTTTAATGGTGTGCTAAAAGTGGGATCATTTTGTGAAAGAATGAAATGCGTTCAGAAAGAGTTCATGGCTTTCTTATTAAGAGCACCAGGGGGTTGGACGGTCTGTTTGTGACCCCTTCTGGGTGGCTGAGATAATGTACATGAGTGTTTTTGAAAGAGCAGAGCAGTCACATGAGCCATCGCCCCGTAGCCTTAGGGACCTTTCTCCCAGTGATGTTTGTTTTTGTTCAAAAAAAGAAAAGTATGAGGCAAAACCCCTTGAATTGAAATTGGAATTTAATATGCAAAGCTTAATGAGAGGGACCTTCGTCTCACACACAAAAGAGTTGTCTCTGTCATTATGTACTCATCTCATTTTAAAAGACACAACAAAAGGAGAAATTTTGAAGCATGTACTGGTCGCTCTTTTCCATGTAATTAAAGCAAATGCCAACTGAAGCTTTCAAGCTTCAAAAATGACACAAACAAAGATCAGAAAAGTATCAAAAATGTTGTGCATTCATATAATATATGTTCATTAAATTAGCTTATTTAATCCATATTCACTGATAATCTCCCCCTCTTGTGGACAGTTAACTGGTGCAACCAGATCTTTACTAGATCGATTTGTGAATGATTTATTCAGATGGATTTTTGAAACCAAGTCAACAGATTTGCTGCTTTTTTGGGGGTTGGTAAGATTTTTTTTTTTTTTGGTTTGTTTTTAAAAGAAGTCACCCCTAGTGAAAAATAAATATACTAAAATATATTTGAAATGCATTTATTTCATGCCAAGTATACTACAAATACATTTACATATTCATGTACTTAATAAAAATATGCTGCAATTGTACTTTTTTGCAAAGTCTGCTAAATTGAAACTAATTTTGTACTCACTGCACTTTTATTGCGCAGAAGTAGTGCCAACTAAAGATAAACTGAAGTATATTTGATTGTGCTAAAGTGGAACTATTGCAAGTATACCTCATGTACACTTTAAATATCTTGCATTAAAAGACTGATATTATTCAAAGATCATACAGTCCTCATCAATAGTGACATTAAAACACATTTTAGGTTTAAAATACAAAAGATGTGATACTACCTATTACAGGTCACTGAAAGTACTGCATCTTGTGCATTTTGCCCTTACTCACCCAAACTTGTCAACAAGGCTACTTTATGTGAATGCGAGTTCCTTAGCAAGTATTTGTGAATCAGAGGTGTTTTATATATGAGATGAGGACATGACTGCAGCTGGCAATGAGGCCCAAACCAGCACAGCCAGTGCAAGAAGGCTTCGGCATTTTAATTTTACTTAACATTATTTTATTTATCCATTACACTGAAGAGACCTTTTTGAAGGATATTGTTTTTTTGTTTGTTTGTTTTTTTTGTTATGTAATTTTGAGGTGTTTTTTGGTTTTAGAAAATAAACTTTGTAGTCCGTTTGTTCATTGATTCCCCTTGATTAGTCTCCCCAGGCGTGTCTTGTCTTGTTAAGCTTGTTATTCCCCCGTTGTGTATATATAGCCCTAGCTTTTCTTTAGCTCCTTGTGAGTTGTCGAATGTAATGGTTGTCTGTTTGCCAGTCATTCTGTTCTTTGTTCCCTTTGGTTTTTTCCTTATTGTTTGTTCTAGTTTTTCCATGAAATACCAGCACATAGATCCTTACCTCTTCCTGTTTTCCACAGCTTCTCCACAACGTTACAGTTTTTCACTGGCATGTCTCTTTGACTAGTGCATCTTTGAGCCTTTATTTAGTATAAACAAAATACTAGTAAAAGTAAAAGTACTGTTAAAATCAGATTATTAAGACTTTTAATAATCAGATCTCTTAAGACTTTTACTCAAGTTGTTTTGGAATTGGTGACTTGTAACATGTAGTGGAGTAATTTTCACTGTAAGGTATCTGTACTTTTACTCAAGTATTTTTAGGTACTCTTTACACCTCTGCCACACGCACACACACACACACACACACACACACACACATATGTA